ATGACGGGTTGATGGGTGCAGCAAACCACCATGGCACGTGTATACCTATGTAACAAACCTGCACATTCTGCACATGTATCCCAGAACTTAAAGCATAATTTAAAAAAATAATAATAAACAATTTTCTTCTTCCTTTCCAAAACAAAACAAACAAAAGAAGGAAATGATCCCAAAATCTCATGTCTTAAAATGACATTTATAAAAAATAAACAAATATAATTTACATTTTAAAAGTAAAAAACCATAAAAATATGCTCATTATAGCAGTTTAAAAACAAAAAACTAAAAAGCAAAATGTTATTTTTATTTTATTTTTTGTTTTTTAATACTCCATTGCTCAGTATGTAAAAAATACTATTTTTAATGAAATAATGACTGATGTATTTTTCCCTTTACTATTAGTTTTTTTGTTTACATTGTATTTTAGTGACTTAGATATATGACTTCTACATGTCTATTTCAACCTTTTTATTTAAAATACATCTTGGCCTAAAGCATTCAACTCAATTTTAGTCAGTACCATTGTTTTAGATTTCCTCTAGAAAATAAAATTTATGATAACTAGCTATTTAAATGTTGTTACAGTGCTGGTTTCAGCTACTAAATAAAAGTTTCAAAACCTTATACAGATTTAAAATGACCTTGACCTCTGTAATTGTATTGTTGCTGTATTCTTCCATTAGATATACCTATGGTGAACCTGTGGACGGAAAGGTCCAACTTAGTGTGTGCAGAGAATCTACTGCTTATCATTCATGTGGTCGTCCTATCAGTTCACTCTGTAAAAATTTTACCATTCAGGTAAGAGGTATATCTGCAAAATTATAAATAAGTTTGCATTAACCTTTTATCCTCACCTTCCATTTACCTTCCTTTCTTCTTGTTTCCCTTTTTACAGTTAAAAATACATACGTTTATTCTATATTTCTATTCCTAATTGTAAATTTTATATTCCTCTTATGTCATGCTAATTTTCATTTTCTATTGACTGACAAAAAGCAAATTATAGTATCAGAAACTGAGTAGTAAATTTCAATTCTTAATTAAAAATGGATTTGGTTTCATATCAAAATCTACACCTTATCAATTTTCTGGGAACATATGTCCTGTCTTTGTTTTTTACTTTGTGGATTTAGTCAAGGAGATATGATGATGTTTCTGTGTATTCGAGAGTGTTAGATGTATAATTATTTTCCTCTCAATCTATCCTCACTGGAAATAAGTGTATATAGGAGCTCCAGATGGGAACCCTATCAGTCAGGGTTCTTAACCACTAAAGAGAAGAGTCAACTTTTCCAAACTGACAAAGGAGGAATTTCCTAAAAGATCTATCATGTGTGAATACATGTGACTAGTGATGGATGTGTTTATTTTCTTGTATATTGACAAAATAATGTCACCATGAAGAGATTTTTAAAACACAATATTGTAAGAGTTAATATTTATTAAAAATTCAAAGGTAGTTATAGGTAAATCCATAAATACATGAACTGGAAATATAATTATAGAAGTACAATGGATTATTTTATAGAATTGAAACTTGGGTAATACAATATTCTTGAAGTTGCTTCAGTGAGGTTACACATTTTCCCTATTATAGCTATTTCTTACAGTCTTCTTTTAAAATTTAACTTTTCTTTTATTGTTCTTTTCAGCTAGGGAAAGATGGCTGTGTCTCCAAGTTTATTAACACAGAAGCTTTTGAGTTAAATCGGGAAGGATACTGGAGTTTCCTCGAAGTGCATGCTCTTGTTACAGAAGATGGAACAGGTAATGCTCTCTAAGAAATCAGATCCCAATGGATATCACTGTCTCATTCGAATTGTTACCTGGTTGCCAACTACACAATGTTAATATAGTCATTTTTTCCCCGAGGGCTTTTCACTGGGTTCATATGATTTGAATTCTGAATGTTTCATATATCAACCAAACTTTTTACACACCTGTTGATGGATGGTCAAGTATTAAGTTCAAATAAGAGTACAATGGAAGTAAGAATGCCAGTTT